CTGGCAAAAACAGTGAAAGAACGTTACATTTTTTGTGTGTTGTGTGTGTATTTTATATTATCACAAATTCCATAGCTATCATCATATATAAAGTCTTTCAGTTTTATCGTCGATATAATAGGAATTATCATTATCATTATTATTATTAGTAATAGTAGTAGTAGTGGTAGTAGTAGTATTGCTGGTAGTGTTAGTAGTAGTAGGTGTAGTAAGTGGAGGAGTCGTGATTTTAAAACTGTTATTAGGAATCATACAAAAAACATTAATATCAGGACACACTGACGTAATGTAAGAAATGGTTAGCAAGCTTGTCTCACTAGTTCAATTATCACTGAATTTCGATCCTTAATATGTACCCCATACTTTTGGCCTTGTGCCATATCTAAGCTACGCTTAAAATCATCATAAAAACATTAGTGATGACGGGACTCGTAACATCCATAACAATATAAGTATTTTAAGTAGCGCTTTACAATCTTTCATCACCTTCATCGTTTTAACATTGTTAGATGAACGCTGTTAATTAATAGTTATTAATCAATATTAGTTACGGTCCGTATTAAATTGTAGCTTTTTGGATATGGCTTTTTAGAAGGGTTAGGGTTGATTATTTAGCGTTCCTCATGGAGACGTCGGGCAGCAAGGTTTCTGGTCAGGAGGTTTTCAGGAGCGTGGAACCCCCTCTTAATTGCTATTGTTCCCGGGTCCAGCCTGGTGGTAGCACCTGTTAGGGCCACGGCTATGGGAAAATATTGAATCCCTCAAATTGAGGTCAGAACATGAAAATATAAAAATGCATTAGAAAAAAATGACCAGCAATTCATTTTTATCGTAAACATTTTTTTTAAATTTGCCAGCAATATATTATTGGATAATATGGCTTACAATATATATTTGGAAGAAGAAAAAAATGGAAAATTACCAAAGCTCACAAGAAAATATAATTTCGGCATTAAATGGCCCATAAGGTCTTGGTATTCTGTTAAACAAACCAAATCAAATTGTAGCTGAAAAATTTGCGCATTTCTTACCAAGGACATAAGCGGGGTCCGCACAAAAAAATAAAGATTTCCAATGTTTTTCTAGGTCCGCCTCAGCTTCCCATTAAAAATATTAGGGAAACAATACTCCTAGCCTTACTTTGAATTTTGCCATATTAAACTGGAAGTTAAACAGATAAATCATACTTATTATAAAACCCACGTTGTGTGTGTGTGTGTGTGTGTGTGTGTGTGTGTGTGTGTGTGTGTGTGTGTGTGTGTGTGTGTGTCTGTTCGTTTATATTGGATCGGATTTCCTACATTTTTCAACCGATTTCAACAAATCTTCACAGGAATACATAAAATTACCGTGCGGTGTTCTGACAGGGCCAAAAATTGGAAAAACACAATTGTTTTTGCACAAAATCAATTTGAAAACATGATTAAGAGGTATTGCTGTTGCTAGAATAAAAGGGGGACAACTCATATCGAGTTATACTTATTATAAAACCCAGGTTGTTTGTGTGTGTGTGTGTTTGTTTATATATGGGATCGGATTTCCTACATTTTTCAACCAATTTCAACAAAACTTCACTTTGGGGGGGGGGGCAGGTAGTGTTTCTTATTGTCTTGCACACTTTTTTCTTTATTTTTACATTCAGAATGCTTTAAAAATTCCATTTACAAGACAATTGTTTATAATAAAATTCTATTCAATTTGTAGACTCATAACAATTGAAAACAATGTTTTTTTTTGAGTTTGGGTTTGACCGATTCGTAAAAAAAAAAAAAAAAATTAAAAACTAATTAAGACATGCGTGTCCGTCAACCTTAAACAATAATCTTTTGTCAATTTTATTTTTCAGTCTTTATGATGGTCGATACTTGATCTATCTCTTACTGTTACATCCCCGGGCAACGCCGGGCTCTACTGCTAGTATTGAATAAGGGTTACGGTAATAAAGGAAACACTTGATAGTTTTGCAATAAAACTTTAATTATAGCAGCTCTTTGGGGGCTTACGACCATTCCATGTTAAAAGACCGGTCTACCAAAGTTAAACAACGTCGAGCCTAGCCAGTGTTTAGATTGGTAACCGCTGGGGGATACCAGGTGCTGTAAGCCTGGAGGTGCGGGTGGTGTAATGGATAATGGCTCGAAATTGTTAATCGGAGAGACGACTTCCAATTCCCGTTGGCTTCGTTATATTCACTTACGCACTCATACCCTTGTGAAAAGTGTGGAACCAGCTTTCCCCCTAGCTATGGGTTAATTAGTAAGAAGTTTATCACTAAATCGTTATTATCTCTACACCACCGAATAAAGTTCTTACCATTTAAAAAAATATTTTTCTGGCTTTAAATAACATGCAAAAACTTGATAACGCCGCAGAAAACGAAAAGTTTAAAAACTGCTTTCTTAGCAGTTGAGGCAAACAGGGATCATAATAGTTACGATTGTGTGCGTTGTGGTTTACGAGCTGATTTAGCCGGTATTACGGTAACGCAATGGGATCGATCCTCAAGCGACATTTGAAACTTCTACCAAAATAAGATTTGGTGTAATAGTAAAGGAAAGAAAGAAAACCTCTCTAACAGAATAGTAGCGGCAATGTAAATTGTTAAGGACATATATTATTTAATGATATGTGGTTATGTGACACGGCGTTCGAGGGCCGCTGTGTACTATTCTTGAACCCTCCAGAGGTGGTCAAGCCTGATTGATGGCACCAGGCAGTGATTTATGACACTCGCTATTTTATCAAAATTTGTTTTTTTCTAACTACGTTTATATTCGTTACAAATTAAAGTAAGCACAATATTTTTGAGGAAACTGACGTCGTTTTAGGGTCTCTTTTTTTAAGGTTTTGACGGCGTTTTAGGGTCTTTTTTTTAGATATTGCCGTCGTTTTAGGGTCTTATTTGAAGTTATTGATGTTGTTTTAGGGTCTTCTGGAGGACAATGACGTCGTTTTAGGGTCTTTTGTCAAGGATATTGGCGTCGTTTTAGGGTTTTTTGGGGAGATATTGAGGTCATGTTAGGGTCTGTTTGTTTAGGATATTGATGTCGTTTAAGGGTTTTTCTGAGGATATTGACGTTTTAGGGTCATTTTGTAGGATATTGAGGTCGTTTTAGGGTCTTTTGTTGGGAGATATTTACGTCGTTTTAGCCTTTTATCGTCCAAATCAATGAATTTGTTTTGATGATGCTAAGTCTCAAAAAGACATTACATCAAATTCACTATATTTTATCCATAATGTTTAATGTCTTAGAATTCTTCAATTTTTTAACAAGAAAAATCTGAAGTTGTTGTTAAAAATTGACGATTTGTTGATTTGTTAAACATGGAATGATTTATTATAACATGCCTCTAATTTCTATTTACAGGGTGCGATGGGTAATTTGTCGCCGGCTTATATTTTTAATTCCGCGCATGCGTGTTGTTTGTTTTTGATTTTATCGACCGGACATTATAGTATTGTCAGTTGGGCACCGTCTGTGAGAAAAAGAGCACCATGACAGAATTCAGTCCGACAGAAAATTGGAAACGGCATGCTTGGCATTTCCGCCAGAACCTCCAATACGAACATTTCAGAGTGTTTGGGCGTCAAACAGAGCACAGTGCAGAGGATTCTATAAGAGTTGGTTGATATATGCAGTCAATATCATGGTGTTTGGAGAGATTATTAGTGATGGCGACGTTATGCCTCTATACATATCCCTACAGAGCTTCAAACTCAACACGGTGGCCTACATCAAGTACCTTGAGGAGGTAGCGCTACCCTGGGTCAAGAGGGTGGCTGCTGGAAGACCCTCTATTTGGAAACAGGACTCTGCAACATGCCACAAGCAGGAGAGCACAGACATGACTGTCAGACAATTTCTGCGACCATATCAACCCTTACATCTGTCCTGCTATTTGTTGATCACGTTTGCCGTAGTCTCTGAATATGGAATCCAGTGAAGTCCGTAATGTCTTCAATATCAGAGGTTGGCAGTGTAGATTCGCAGAAAGTAGCGGCTGTTAATTCTTTAAGAAAACAAAATGGCTGCCTTTATACGCATTGAATATTTTGAGCTTTCTGATTGGTTAACCCTTCTATTGGTGGACTATAAAATGAGTCAACTCATTTTGGCTAACTCACTAGTACACACATATATAAAAAAAAACTGTAACACTAACTCCCCCAGAGTTCATCCGCCCTGATTATTAAGTGTGAGGCGTAGGAGAGAAAGAGATCAACAAAACTTATTGCAACACCAAAGATAAACAGGCAAGGATTATAGAAGCATTTAACAACTTAAACAAAGAGTTTAGTACTGTGCTTAAATTTTTAAAAAAAAGGTGTAGGTACCACAGCAAAGATGTCAATCGAACAATTACCATGAAAGTATTTATAGGAAAGACATAGAGAGGTAACCTTATTGCGGTAAAAAAAAAAAAATGAAGCCGAACCGCCAGACCATGTATTTTTACAATTATATACCGCCATATACAAATTAATTTGAAAGAGATATATGTTATATACTCTACCTATGAAGACTAATGGTTATATCCCAATCCTTATAAGTATGTTGGACACTATTATAAGTGGGGGTAATATGCTGTCTAAGTAGTTCACCATTAGCAGTGGTTTACCTACTCCACACTGCTAGCGAGTATTGTATTTTGTTGACGCTATAAAGATTATCATTTCATTTCCAACCTCCGTTTATTTTATTTGTCATTCAGTAACCCTTTCCTAGGTTACAACAATATATTTTCTTTTTAATGACATATATGGCAACTGATAACCACCAATTGTAAGAAAATGAAATGTACAATCGTTTGCAAGAGGAATGGCAAGAGAGGAGAACTGTAAACTGGAAGCATTAAAATCAAGCAAATTCACAAATTTAAATATCTGAGGAATATTATATCAGACGATGGTAAAAATATGAAGCATAAATACAGTGAAATATGCCTTCTAAACACTAAAAAGAGTATTAACAGAAAATATTAGTTATAAACAGAAAAGA